TCCTTTCACCACCAGATATGGTAAACTAGTCAAATGCAGTGCACATGCTGCGTCAGGATGTGGGCTTTCCACAGCTCACGCAAGAAGAGCTGTACAAAGAAAGCGAGCAAGGCATCTATCTAATCTTCCCCTTATGGCGGTGTGGACATAAATAATGCATATGACTTTGAACTAGAGCCACCTCGATGGTTCGTTGCATCTTGTGAGTACCGGTTTTAGCTGGCCATCTGCAACTATTGAAAGATACAGGAAAACCACTGCGGGCAAGGCACTACCCTACTACGACAGCCCAGGTGAGAAGTACATACGCTAATGCATGCATGCCACTTTACTTTTTTAATGCAAATAATCATTCCTCATCAATCATCAGTATGTAGCTTATAGTTTTGCCTGTATTTAATTTCTTATATGCATCTGAAAAATACCATATTACCTGTGGCGTGCATACATCAGCGTATTTCTCGGCTAGACTGTGTAGTTAGCTACGGAGTTCTCCGTGGACTGCGACTTGTCGCATACAGAAACCAGGGTGATTCAACGCCTTGCATGTGGCTAGAGCACCGATAGAATCGAAGTGCCCATGGGGATCCGCTATCCGAATCGATACTTCAAGCGCCAACAGTAACGAGGTCCGACTCACCAACTTCCTCCCTTTCATTCCGACGTGAATTTACTTCTTTGTCCCATATAACCATGACAGTTATGGTATCCCGGATTGAGTATATCGGGCAAATCGTCCGCGGTGAGGCCACGGTCATCTGGATCCTCGTGGCCTTGGTCCTCGTGGCTTACTTGATCCTCCCCAACCCAACCTACCGCACCAATGTCAAAGTCCCGACGGTAAGGTATCTGGGAGGCTGGATGCCTGATCTGGTGGACCGTCTATTCTTTAATACCAAGGCAACCTCGGTGATCTACGACGGTTATAAGCAGGTAAGTGGGAAAAAGAAGGCCCGGGTTTGTTATGGGTGCTAATGCCCAGGTAGTACAAGAAGAAGGCATATAAGGTGCTGAAGGCCGATGGCGATCTCGTAGTCCTCTCGACCCGGTACGCCGAGGAGCTACGGCAATTGCCTGCATCGACTCTAAATGCCCTTGAGGCCACCTTTACAGTAAGACCTCCACCCCCACTCCCTTGACGTTCGCACGACATTAAACCACATGGCACCAGGATCACGTCGGCGATTACACAACCATTCTTACCGACAGCCACCTGCACACTGAGACCATCCAAAAGCGGTTGACCCCGGCAATCGGTAGGAGCCCCGTGGATGTCAGGAAGACCGATCGCTAATCCCCATCGCAGGCAGACTAATCCCTCGTATTATCTCTGAGCTTGACCACGCTTACGAGGTGGAATTTCCCAAGTGTGACGGTATGTCCAGATCCCTAACCCACGACGTATGCATCGGATTTTCGGACTAACCGTACTTGGACGAGAGGCAAGTGGGTGGCAATCAACCCATACGAAGTCTTCTTGCGTCTCGTAGCCAGGGTGGGCGCTCGTATCTTTATCGGAGACACGCTGTGCCGGGATGAACAATGGCTGAAGGCCTCGATCGACTACACCAAGAACATCTTCGTGACTATTGCGCTGTTGCGGCCCGTTCCTGGATTCCTCCAGCCCTTGGTCGGGCGAGTCTTACCCAGCAGTCGGAGTTTGAATCATCAGCTTGCCTATATCAAGAATGAATTCCTGGGTCCCCTCATCGAGAAGCGCCGGGAGATGGAATCATCAGGTGACCCCAATTATGAAAAACCTGACGATTTTCTACAGTGGATGATGGACCTCGCCAAGACAGAGCAGGAGTCACATCCACATAACCTGGCCCAGCGACTTCTCGGAATCACCAGCATGGCGGTTGTCCACACGAGCGCCATGAGTCTCACGCATATTCTATACGACCTACTGGTCATGCCACAATGGCTGCAGCCTCTCCGTGACGAGATCCAGGAGGTCAACCCTGATTGGCACAGCACCACGCAGGCCCACCTCATTGGACTCAAGGGCATGGACAGCTTTCTGAAGGAATCGCAACGATTCAATCCTCCGGGGGAGCGTAAGTTATTTGTCCCAACGACCGTTTGGAGATTATATTGACGCAGAACCTGGCAGTCTCGTTTCACCGTGTGGTCAAGCACGATCTGACCCTTTCAGATGGTCTTTTCCTCCCCAAAGGCACGCATATTTGCATGGCGGCGGGACCCATCTCGCGGGATGCGGATGTGATGTCGGACCCTGACACGTTCGATGCCTTCCGCTTCGTCAAGGAGAATCGACCAACCTCGGGCTTTGTCAGCACCGGTGCCACCAATATGCATTTCGGGCTTGGCCGCTATGCCTGTCCCGGCCGGTTCTTCGCTGCCTTCGTCATGAAGGCCATCCTTAGCCGATTCCTCGCCGACTATGACTTCCGGTTTGGTCCCGATCAGAAGGACCGCCCCAAGAATATGATGATCGGGGACAAGATCGTCCCGAATGTGTCCACTCCGATCTTCATCAGGAAAAGAACCACATCAAAACCCCTTTGATCTCCCTCGGTTGTTAGGGTATTCATTTGCTAGCTTTTGTGTCTCGTGCAGTTATATACACATCGGGAGTAACCATGGACAAAGAAGCGAGACGTGGTCTTAGACTACGAATTCCCGACGATTAGGGTGAATACAAGTTGACCATGCACATGAACATCCACGTCTCCAGTTAGTACAAACGAAGTAATGGCTAATGGCGTCCGCTCGTAAATTTATGAGGCCTGAGACCTGAGACACCAAGTGCATCGGAGGCGGTGAGGTGGCAGCACAACGCGTGGGGGCTTATTTCCCTGGGCATCAACTAATTGTCGAGATATAATACCTGAAAATGCGATTTAGGGGGTTTAATCAATCGATCTCTGACTCCTATCCAAGTACCGCGCATTACGTGTAAATGTAGGGAATCACCCACTCTGGCACTGATAAAGATAGTCTTCTGATGAAAAAACAATCTTGATCCATGTAGAATTGATACAAGACATGATAGATCTGATCAAAAGAAAAGGTGAAATGAAGTATTTGGTCCCCGAACTCCAGTTAAGAACTGAGAGCAGAAAAAGTAAATAATCGATTGCATGAATTGATCAGTATATTGAAAGCCATGCATGCATCCATTCCTTAAAGGATTTATAGATTCTTCGATATATTTGGAAACTCGGAAAAGTGCCTAAATTTGGGCATATTTTCTTAGCTAGAATGATCAGACCTTATTGATTGAATCAGTGGAAAAATACGGAGACGGATTTCTGATTTCTGCGTAGTAGAAATTTTGCCAAGCCCCATGTATGCAATAGAATGATTGAATGCTACCCCAAAATCATTCCGTCGACAGAATCTCCAGCTAATTCATAACGCCATTCTTTGTTTACGTTGACTTCAAGTCCAGCTTTTCTTTCCTGCCCCATAGGGCCAGCCAGTCTTGAATGGAGGAGCTAGACTCGGCCAGTTCAGCCATGCACATCTGATGCACGTTATCACTGCGGATCGCCCGTAGGGCATTTCGCACGTTTCGGGGGAAGGAGATTGCAGCGCAAGCTCTACCCAGTGGCCATCGGGGGCGTTCATGGCCAGCACGATAGGGTAGCTCAACTCACCATTGCAGAGGTCCTCGGCAATAGCCCCCTTCATCTTAGCATATTCAGTTGAATAAACATTCTTGCAATCGTTTTGGAGTTGAGAGTACCAGCTAGCAAGCATCAGTTAGGGATTGAGACCACAGGAGAAGGGTGTGGGCAGGCACATACGCGACAAGGGTCATGGTATCATCCATCGACCGGTCCTCTAGCACTAGGTGGCCGAGTAGTCGGAAGAGTGAGCCTGTCTTAAGAGATGCCATTCGCTGATAGGCGGCGGCTCGCTCGGAGGGAGCGGTCGGGAAGTTCTTGAGGCCGTCTCGGCGCCACACGAGTGATAAGTCCTGGCCTTCGAGAATATTCTCGAGGTCCTGCATCAACCAGGGAGCGAGATGCGGGAAGCCGGTTGTCGTCTGATTCAAAATTTGGGTGACTCGGAAGTAGGCGCGATTGGCAGTTTCCGACGGGCCGTAGATGCGGTGGGCAGCTGGTCGCCCTTTACGGAAGTCACTGCCGTCAGAGATCTGGGAGTATTAGAATTGGGGGTGCGTCGGCTTTGGTATTCTCAAGGTATGGAACGTACATCATCAACCAGCATCAAACAGAGGTGGATGGCATCCATGATCTCCAGCACCATCTTGTACTTGGCTGGGTCATCATGTTGGAGAGTGGGAGACAACTTGTGCACGAAAGGAGCCCAATGATGATGGCCGTAGATCTGACGAATATAGCTGTACGGACATTCTAAGGATGTCGTGCTTGCTGGGTCCTTCTGACCGATCAATTGGTATTTTTTCGACAACCACCGCGGCGCAGGGAAGCGATCAATGGAGATATAGAGAACGACAACCAGTGCCAGAGCACCAACGGTTAGAGTCAGGTACGACAGCGAGAGCTGCGACCATCCACTCAGAGGGGTCGTTAGCATAGTGGTCATATTGTACTGGGCCTGAGAATTGAGTCAGGGGGAGGTAATGTAGAGAGATTTCGCGAAATTTGAATGATGCGACATAAAACGAGAAATGGGACTTGATAGGTACCGGAGACTGTCCGAGGAGCCGCAATGAGTGTTTACAAAGTAATTATCATGCAGGCAATCTATATCGAAATCGCGGTGTGATGGATGACAGGCTGCATTTAATGGGCTTCCTGAATAGGTGTATCAGCTTCAACTACATCCAAAAAAGCAAACAAGATCACTAAGTGGGTTTACAATTTGCAGTAAGGGACAGAAATTCTCTGTATCCGCGTTAATACGCCCACATGGAACATGTCTCCTGTACGGGGGACTGTCTTGAATTTCCCCAAGAGGTTGCAAGGAAAAAGGATACATGAATCACTGCATCTGACCTCGTGCGTGTGATCCCCCAAGCACAGCATGAAGCGTTGATCATGTCATCCACCACACGGAATAAGAAGCAGCGGCGCAGCCTGTCTGAGGAATTCCAGACTATTGCCACCAGCATCAGAGGACCAGAACACAACAAACCAACCAACTATCTTCATTTCAATCATGGATGGATTTGATGTTTCCCAGGCTCCGCCCGAATATCGGGCTGTGGAGCCCATTGCCAACATTTTTGTCCTGGGGATGGGGCTCGGGTGGCTAATCAACTATGTCGGAATGATTTACCAATCATTTAAGGACGAGACTTACGGGATGGCCATCATGCCACTGTGTTGCAATATCGCCTGGGAAATTGTGTATAGTTTGATATATCCATCCAAAAGTCTTATTGAGCAAGGTGTGTTCATCGCCGGTCTCACTATCAACATTGGAGTCATGTACGCGGCAATCAAATTCGCCCCCCAAGGAATGGAGCCATGCCCCACTGGTCATGCGCAATTTGTCTCTCATTTTCTTCCTGGCTACCCTGGGATTCCTCACCGGACATCTCGCTCTCGCTGCAGAGATCGGGCATTCCCTTGCATACTCGTGGGGTGCTGTGGTATGCCAGCTGCTCCTCAGCGTGGGTGGACTCTGCCAGCTACTGTGTCGGGGAAGCACGCGCGGGGCCTCGTATACGTTATGGTATGTAACCATCGAGGGCCTTTGGCAGATGTTAGTTCTAAATATTCGTTCTAGGCTTTCTCGCTTCCTCGGATCGTCCTGCACTGTGGCTTTTGCATCCTTGCGTTGGATGTACTGGCCCGAGTCTTTTTCCTGGCTCAATAGCCCTCTGGTTTTGTGGAGCCTGGCGCTTTTCCTCACGGTCGATGGTTCCTACGGGCTCTGCTACTGGTACGTTCGCCAATACGAGTTGTCTCTCAAGGAAGCTGAAGGGCGCAAATCGAAGTAAGATGTTGGATTGAGGCAATTTCGCATGAGGTGGGGCATGATGGTGCATAGCATAATGTGAATTATATGTACGTAGTGGCACGAGGATACACACATTATTACATGTGCTTCCCATTGGTCCATGCAGTGTACATCCATGGATGTCTCCTCGGTTATTACTACCTAGGTACTTATCTACTCCGTATGCACCCTACTGTATGCACGCCACAGCCAATAAATATGGTATTTTTTCAGATGCATACAAATTAAATACACACGACGTTATGAGATACATGCTGAAGATTGTTGGGTAATAATGATTAGGGGAAAAAAGTAAAGTGGCATGCATGCATTAGCGTACTTCTTGGCCGGGCTGCCGTGGTTGGGTATAGTCTTCTCTATCCGTGCAGGCTCGCTGACCATGGCGAGTTTCAAGCGTATTACCCCATCTGTCCTTGGATGTTAGTTCCCACCACCTTCTGTCTGCGTTAGTCTTCCCGTGAGTTTCAATCAAAGAAACATGGACAAAGACCAATTCCACGTCATTATTGTTGGAGGCTCGATTGCTGGCCTCACTTTAGCTCATTGTCTACATCGGGCGGGAATTAGTCACGTTGTGCTCGAGAAGGCCAGCGAACCAGCACCTCAGATTGGGGCATCCATTGGTATTTTGCCGAATGGTGCTCGAGTGCTCGATCAACTGCAATTGTATGAGACCATCGAACAATATATCGAACCTCTGGAAACGGCAACCATCGGCTACCCGGATGGCTTCAGATTCAGTAGTTCCTATCCTAAACTAGTGAACGAGAGGTTCGTCTCCACTGCTTGCGCAAATATTCAGTCGCATCGCTGATACTGTCCCTAAATTTCATATAGGTTCGGATTCCCTATAGCCTTTCTCGACCGACAGAAGCTGCTTGAAATCCTCTACCAGCACTACCCAGACAAGAGTAGGATTCGGCTGGCCGCAAGGGTCGTCAGCATTGAGAGCTCTTCTATCGATAGCACGATAACTATGGAAGATGGGACGATCTACAAGGGTCATCTTATCGTCGGTGCCGACGGCGTCCATAGCAGAGTTCGCGCAGAGATGTGGAAGGCTGCACAGAGAATCAACCCTGGTTTGGTCACAAAGAGAGAACAGAGAAGTGAGTCAATGACCCCCGGATGGCGTCCAATGTATGATCCTTACTGAATCATGGCAATCTTTAGGCATGACGGTAGAATACAGCTGTATTTTTGGCATCTCTGCCCCCATCAAAGGATTGATTGTGGGTGAACAGGTGAATGCTTTCTTTGATCATCTCACAATCGTCACGATCCACGGCAAAAAAGGTCGAGTTTATTGGTTCCTAATCCAGAAGCTCGACCGGAAATATGTCTATCCCGAATGCCCTCGCTTTACAGCCAAAGAAATCGGCCCCATCGTCAATCATCTGAAAGAGGTAAAATTCTTCAAAGATATTACATTCGGGCAGCTCTGGGATAGTCGGGAGACAGCCTCCATGACGGCGTTGGAAGAGAATGTCTTTGACACCTGGTACCATGGTCGAATGGTTTTGATGGGCGATAGTGCCCACAAGGTAGGGCTTCGCCAGTGATAGGCCACTTCAACTTGCGAAGGCTAACTGGTCCACAGATGACACCAAATATCGGACAAGGGGCCAATATGGCCATTGAAGACGCGGCGGTCTTGAGTAGCCTTTTGAGTGATTTGCTGCAGAAACAGACACAGCCTCCGACCAACGCACAGATTGAAAAACTCCTAGCCCAGTATCGCGAGGTTCGACATCCTCGAGTCAATTCTATCTATAAAACTTCACGATTTTTGGTTCGATTCCAGGCTCGAGACGGGATCTTCAACACCCTCTTTGGACGTTACTATGCACCTCATGCAGGCGATCTCCCAGCTGATATGGCCTCCAAGACCATCGCTGGCGGTGAATTGTGTGCCTATCTTCCCTCTCCCAGCCGTTGTTCTTACGGATGGGAAAAATACAAAAATAGTGGGCTTGGAAGGACTGTGTGGTGTGTCCTGGTGCTTCTCCTATCGGCTTTGACGTGGAGTTGCCTGGGAAACATGAATATAATCATGGAGCTGCCAAAGAGAGTTTCTATGATGAGATAGGACATGGGAGATGGGCTAGATTCGCAGAACTAAATTATAATCAAGTTATAGAATTTTTCGGATGGCGTACATGTAATGATGCATGAAGTAAAGTTTGAGGTGGTTATCATTTTGCACTTCCACCTTCTATGGAATAAAGTGCATTGGAATAGCCTCTCTAGCTACTGTAATGGATACTTTCGGTGCAGTGGAGATAGCCCTAGAGCTGGTTAATATGGCTTACTAAGGAGTATTGTGTAACTAAACTAAATGTAGCCCTGGGAGCTATCGCTTGTGAAAGCAACTCAGATACCTCTTCCACTCCATTACTACCCCTAGCTTCTCTTTTCTTAGAGTAGCTATGAGCTCAACCTGCCCTGCAACTGGGCTAGCCTACAGGCGCTCTTTTGGATCTAGTTAAATAGGGAACCCATGAAATAGGTGTTCAATTCCCGTCAGAGCCATGCGGTTTTCTGGGTCTGAGCATGATCTCTGCTGCCATATCAGGGAAACATATCTTCTTGAAAGTTGTATTTCTGGGACGTGGCCCATGATTCTTGATGGCAATATCAAAATGAAATAAGGTGTGGGCGACAATCAGTCGGATTTCATCAGCTGCCATGAAGCGTCCTGGGCTGTCGGTACATGAAAGATTAACGTTTGAAGCAGCAACAAGGCGGTAGGTAACATACCAAGTGTGTCTTCCATCACCAAACTGTAGATACTTGGAACTCGCTGTGACCAGTCGGTAGTCATGAGGTTTCTGGGTCTGCTCTGCTAACTTCCAGAAGCGCAGCCCATCAAACTGACTACCAGCTGGGTACAGACTCTCGTCGAACAGCATTGGTCCATTGGGTGCGAACACCCAAGTTCCCCTGGGTAATTTCAACCCGTTTGAGAATTGAAAGTCCCGAGTGGCCTGGCGTGCCAACGATGCTGAGTATCGGTCAGCCTGAGATGACAGTATCATTACTCACGTAGGTCATTGTGAAGGGCAACTTACCTGCATCCAAAGGATTGAATCTTTGAGCCTCCTTGATAAAGCTATCGAGCTTGGTCATTGACTCAATAGCACTCTTATTCCATCCACCATGGGTTTTGAGGGCAGTTGTGATCTCCTGTCGCAGGGGATCCACGTACTCGGGGCGGGTTGCAATTTCAAGCAGGGTATGAACCGTAAGCTAACATACGATATATGAGCGACATATCCTCCATTTCTCAGTGTGCAGCACCAACCTGGGTAGTGGTATGGATTCCCCCGAAGAATGTTGCGATAACCCGGACGACGGCGGATTCAATGCAATAACCGGGGTTGTCTTTGACCCACTGGGCCATCCAATCTGTCATGTCCTCAGGGATCCTGTGTTTGTTCTCCAATTCTCGCCTAGCAATTTCTTCTGTGATGACTTTCACCAATCGGTCTGAGAGTCGAGGAGCCTTGCAGAAGAACGCTACGATCCTAATTCTGATTAATTACATCGTCCCTCGGTGATGAACCTATGTTTTGCTCACGGTTTCAGGACTGCCGGGAAAAGAGCAATAAAGAACCCATCCAGCGGAATGGCCTCGGCGTATTCACATAAGAGATCAATCAATTCGGGCCTGTTCTCCAACGATCCAAGAAGCGCTTTGACCGTCAGGGCCGCGACGATGCGCGAGTACCGCGGGAAGCAAGGGAAGGGCTGCCATTCGAATGGGCCTGGGGACTACAGTTAGACTCTGCCTGGTTTTATCGGAAGTCCTCGACTGCACCGTCTTGTTCAACCTGGATTTCCTCCTTAAATGCCCGTTGGAAAGTCTTCACAAAGTCGGCGAAATAGGGGTCAGTATCGTTCGCAGCGCGATTCCTCAGCCACATTAATGACTTAGCCAGCGCAGGTTGAGGAACCAGTTTGTGCACTGCATCCCAGTCTGCTCCAGGCAGGGTATACTTGGCTTGAAAGGTCTAAGAGGCAATCATTAAAGATCTGAATCATGGAGGCTGGTATAAAAGGACTGGAGTGCGGATACCTCCGATGTGACAGCCAGAGCCGACATCTGATCATCCATCAAGTTCTTGTATTCCTTGATCATGTCATCATTGCATATACAGACTTCCCACCCATTCGGGGTAGAGACCTGGAACGCAAAATCCTTATTCTAGAGTCTTATCATTAGCATACTGGTCGGAGTCAAAGCTCTTGAAGTACCTTTTCGTATCCTTTCTGGATGCAACCACGTGCTTCCCATGTCCAGAGGATTGTGCTGATCCATGACCCCAGAAAGCCCCGTCGGCCCACCACTGGCACATTAACCTGAATGTATGTCAGTCACTTCTGTGTAAATGTATTCGGATTTCACAGCAAAAACACACCCAGGAACGCCAATATTGAACCCATCTCAGGGTACAGTAAGTGGTTGCTGCTACAATTAAGGTCACTATCCACGGGGACTGGGTCACATAGTCCATGTCGAGAGTCGAATCTGTTAAATTTTTGATTAAAGATAGCTCAACTCTTGGGGAGGATATAATAAATTCCTTCAAATAGGATCATGCAGCACAAACTGCATAAAGTACTTCTTACGGGGGGCTTTGGGGTGGTAGGAATACATCGACGGAGTAGATAGGGATTAAAAGCCAACATAAAAAAAGCAAGAGGGAGAAAGCGCCAGCTAGCTGCACACTGCAAGGGAGTAGCTGCATGTGAATTGCAAATCGCTAGACACCGCCCTTTTTGGTAATATCCCTAAAGTAGCTCTAGACCCTGTGGCCATGTGATCAAAGCCGTCTATCTCCCGTCCGGGCCGTCTCTTATTTTCGCCATCTTTCAAATTGATACTCACTACCACTCTATCATCGATCGAGTTTCTTAGAAAAAGCGATCGAAATGTCTCATGTCGTACGACCTATATTGATTATTCTCGCATCCGTGGCCATATATACAAAGTATTATTTATCCTTTCAAAATGGTTTCATTGATCTTCTGTCCACCATGGGCTCTCAGGGCTCTCTTGCTGGACTTCAAGATGGTCTTCGGTCACATTATACTGGCTTGGACCCACTTGACAAATTCCTAAAGGCATGCAACGTTTTCTTCTGGCCTATTTTCCATGGTACCTCACCTGCTTTATCCCTCTATGCGATTGCATTTGCAGGCTCCATGATCCCGATGTGGTTAATCCTCCTCATGCATACGTGCGTGAAGAGCTCAATTGTGGAAATAGTCATGATGTACGTATGGGCTCACATTGTATAGCGTTATACTAATCTTCCAAAATTAGAAATGCCCTCACCGGTCTCCTGGTGCAAGGAATCGGCCCAGGGGTGATGATGTGTGTTCTACTAGCAATGAGAAGTACATCCATGGAAGAGTTTGCCGTCACCAGTATACCGGCGGTATCTATACTGGGGCCAAATGATCTTCCACTGTCACTGGTCGTCTGTTATATACTGCCCTTAGCCTTGAGCAGCCTTCCAGCACCTGCAAGTATATCTGTTCCGTCTAAGCAATTATTTATTGCCAGTTGGCAGGGATGGCCCCTTTACATTGCACTTGCCGTTGGAATCGCACATTCCTTGAGGTATGGTTATAGACGAAGTCGCCCACAGCAACTGTTCAGGCATGCTTACGCCTTTGCCCTGGCATGTTCCATCATCAGCCACGTTGGTCTTCTTTTGATCTCATTCCTTTCAATATATCCTAAGAGCCCTTTCTTGTCACTGCACTCGGCAGACCTTCACCCACAGAGCCTCTTGGTCCCCAGACTTCCATGGCAGGAGGTGAAAATCACATCGCTAGAGTCTGGAGTCCTTAGGTTTCTGCACTGGGACTATAGTATCTCATCCACGGGTGCTCTGCTGTGGTGCTATGATGTGTATTGGGAAGACAGAATGAGAGGCAAGGGGTGGATAGCTTTTTTCTCTCTGTCATCTCAACTAGCTACAATGAGCCTGGCGTTTGGTCCTTGTAGTGTAGCACTTGCACTCTACTGGACAGCATTGTCTAAAAATTTGATGAAGAACGAGCATGTGAGGAAGAGATAAGTTTTGCCAAGGAAGGAATTTATTTTTATCTGCTATAGTAGGCTCAGCTCTAGCCATGTACCTATATTCTATAAATTTTAATGCGTTAGATCATGTGTATGCTAGTAAGACACGCGTAAATGATAGCCAAGTGTAACGGCCACCCATATGTCCTCTCTACAGTTAAAGACTCCTGGGTCAGCAAGTTGGTTAATTATCCACGTTCACGCTTACCAAGTCTTACAAAAAAGGACCTACATAAATTGAAACAATTAGAGGCAGCTCCCATCCCATTTTCCGTTCTCCAATGACAGCAAACGCTGAAATGTGATACGTGATATGCATCTCGGGGCGTGGCTGAAAAGGTCGTCAGCTGTTTGTCAAGCTGAAGTACACTGGATTACTTTTGATGTACAATTTTACCCTATCATTCTACTACTGGTGCCACTGGGAAATCTAGGGAAAGGGCTATCATTTAACAAGTAGCTAGCGACTGCCTAGACTATGTGGCGCTCCATTGGTCTGATCAGCTCTGGTCGATAATAAGCGGTTACATACGGGTGATCATTCTTGTAGGAAAAGGAAATATCGTGATGCTCTCCAACCATCTTACCATCCGGGGTGGAGCTGACCAAAGAAATCGTCAGTATTTTTATACAGAGATTCTGGGATGGATTTACAGGTGAGGAAAACTTACAAAACAGACACAAAGTCTCTTTGGTATGAGGTGGCGAGCTCATCCCAGCCCTCACTCTTGAAAAAATCCACTAATCCTTCAATGACTTTCCCATCTCCCGAACCGTAGAACCTCACAGGGATGTATATCTTAGCCTCGGGTTTGGCACTGTTCTCCCGCAGTTCGTAGTTGTAAATGACCCCGGCAGTCAGATGGGGGCATGGGGGGAGATCCTGGTTCTCATCATGATCCTCTGGGATCGAAAGAGCAAGATGCCATAGCCTCTTCAGCACCGCCAATCCCCTTTGAGTCTCAGCATCATCGAGCCGTCTATCCAGCGTGTAAATGCTCTCAATGTGGGACCAGCAGGTTTTGGTCGTAAAGCCATACAGCTTCAGTCTTGCGGTATTTGACATATTCTCGCCCATATCAAAGCTGATGAACTCTGGTTGAAAGATCCATCCACCCGGCTGTCTGGGGTTTCCGCATTCCTGAAGCAGGTCCAGAGTTCTCTTATATGACTTTATCGGGGATCCTAGATTATTGATCGCTGTCCAGATCAAATCATGGTTCTCGATGTTCATCTGGAGGGCCTTCCATCGCGGGTTGAAGTACACTTTGACTCGGGGTACAGGTTCGAAATCATAACCTAACATCGACGCAACAACCAGCTGGTTGTATTGTGGGACGGGCTTTCTAGCGTCAAGGCCGACCGTATCTTCGTCGGCAACAAGGAAGGCTTCGCTGAAGTAGTCGAAGATAGTCATATCCATGCCGGGCAATGCTTTCTGGATATGCTTGATTGTCTGTACAACGCCTTTCTGGTTGAATGGGTCGGATGCCGTGCCTGCCAGAGGAGCCGTAGGCACATTGCTGAGGCGCACCGTGCATTTATTCTTGTGAAAATTGAAGCTAACCTGGCCTGGAGTATGATTATATGTTACATAGCTCTTCCAGAAGAATTCGCCGTCAATTGAGGGTCGCGGCCCGTAGGAGGGGACAATAAAATCTTTGAAGAAGGAGAGAATATTCGCTTGACTTTGCACCGAGTACTTAGAACACTGAAGCATTCGGCTCAGAATGGGAGCTAACGAGTCCCACCAGAACTGCTGATCTGCATCAGGCAATTCGACTCCTTGAACCATGTCACCATTATTTAATAAAGAATTGGTCATGGTGATTTGGCCTCAACAGCATCAAGAGACCCGGTATGGATTACAGATCATCACAGTTCAGGGACCGCATCTTGTTTTTATGTCTCAAGCTGATTGCCATTTCCAAATCGACTGCATGAATCCACTTATTCGTCAGTAGTGACTTCCTTACATTCTGCATACGTTAGTGGTATACAAGATCGAGTATGTCGTATACTGTTCACACCGCTCTTTGGCATCGTTCATATCCCATGCCCGGTCAAACCGATGGCATCGTCTCTGTGCTCATCATCTACATCATTGAATATTTCCCACAGGCACCTAACAAATCTATTGCCATAGGTTTTAATATTCAGCATTTAATCGAGTGTTTTCTATCTCTTCGGGACTTTGTGCTTTCACATACTGGCTTATAATTAGTATTGGTGTAGTCTACACTTTCCTACATACGGTCTCGCACCGAAAGAAATGAGCATCGGCTATTATACCCAAAAGTGTGAGCCCTCGAGGGCCTTATGCAGTGAGATACAGGACCTTTCAAGGCTGTTCAGTGCTATATTCTCTCCGAGCTCACCCAATCTGTTGTATTTAACGTAATTCACTATTTTACCTATGGACTATGACAGCCCAACTGAGAAGTACGCTAATGCATGCATGCCACTTTACTTTTTTTTTCGGCTGGTTATACGAATACCATCAATTATTACTCGTCAATCATCAGTATGCAGCTCATAGCTTTGTCTGTATTTAATTTGTTATATGCATTTGAGAGAATAGTTACCATATTTATTACCTGCAGCGTGCACACATTAGCGTATTTCTCGGGCTGTCGTGGTTGGGTAACCCGTAGTTGCCCATCCTACCAAGTCACCAACTCCAAAACTCCCCTAGCAAATACAATTTTTTCACATATCGCAACGACCGGGGCTCATATAGATGAAAAGTTTCGAGCCTGCCTTCTATATGGTTAACGTAGTACCTGGGCGAACTCTTAGCAATTTTGGTGAGAGGATAATTCCGATTTATATATTTCTAGCTCATACAGCTAATTAAGTCACAAATTATCATGTCTTTATAATGCAAGTTTTGGAGCTGGGCGACTCACTAGTGAACTGTTTTGCATCTAGTATTATCTACATAGCCTAGTATTGAAGATATCTAATAGGGCTAAGACGGCGATCAGATTGATAGATGATAACAATAAAAAATAGGAAGCCTTTGCTAAGTCCTTCCCCATAGCCTGTGTGACCGATACTCGGCCGTTACGATGCTCGAGTTCATGAGTAATCCAGAGTTACATACAGAAACATAACTCAGAAAATGGAGTGGGCACTGAATGAATCAGCCCGTTTCACGAGGGAAGTTACCACTCCACATACTTCAACAAATTGCGTTAGCCGCGGTTCTCTGTTACTTCAGAATCTCCTTTTGAGGGTCGAGAGGACACTACGGAAGTAGCCTGGAAAATCCGGATGCAGAGGGCCACGAGCAGATCTGCCAGGCATAGCAGTATGCTCGGTATACCGCATAGAATTGCGGTCATGATAAGCTGGGTGATTAATTCTAGGCGGCTTTAGCATACATCAGCGTGGGTAGCACGGGCAACACTTACCGATGGTTGATCTTCGACCTGTGACAGTATCCAGAAGCTCATCATGGATGATCCTTGGTGCCCCGGACCATGCCCACGGACCGACCAGGCGAAACTTGGTGTTCAGGGTGCCCCCCATGGCCCAGAACACGATCACCTGCCACCCATGGGCGAGGGCCTGGAAGAACGAGGGGGCCGAGCCGATATCCAAGGCCAGTCGGTGGGCAAACATATCATGGTCAACTCCATATTCAATGCGGCCGCTTGGATTGCTGAAAAGACGATAGGAATCGTCCGCGACGAGAGGGCCGGGCAGACGGTTGATGAGATTCAACACCCAGACCTGGACTTGCATCTCGGCTAGGGGTGGAATAGCACCTGTTGATCAAGCAATTGTTAATCACCCGGTGATGAAAAAGGTGTGGGGGAGGAATGTCGTCCTACCGAAGCTGGGCCGCACAAAGCCAATGTAGCCGACGGATGCATCGCCCGTTCGCCAGATGCCGCGCTGATCGGCTTGATCAGGCGTGCAATACTCTGAGCCCAGGAAGGGAAATGACTGGGTGTACCCAGTCGCCAGCACCAGCACATCGGGCTTGAAGCGTCGCTCCTGAAGCAATACCTTGCTATCCGGGCGGCTGTTCTTCTCGAAGTGCACCACCCCGTCCTCATCGATATACTCGGGCCAGGGCGCCAGGTCAATCTTCCGGGACCCTGTGTCGGGAAGGACGGCCTGAACGATGCTGGATCGCAGACGGTGGACCCAGCTGTGCGATCGGTAGGGAGCACTGATGTAAGGCATGGCCTTGGTGGACTTGCAATAGAAGTCTAGGAGATATATTAGTGGTGGGCTCTTTCTCTTTTCCCTCTCCGCCATCAATACCCATCCCGATCGTACGTACAATGAGACTCATCGTATTTGTCCTTCGGCAGACTGCCAACCCACTGGTCAAATCCCCGGGTGGTCCCAGTCACCAGCCAGGAGCCAGCCTTAACCGCCCATCGGGACAGCGTGGTCTGAAGGGCTCCACGGACCTTGCGGTGGACATACGAGTTCACGAAGAGGTAGGGTCGACTGAGATCAACAGGAAGGGCCTTCCCGGGCGTCTTGCTGGTTACCCGGCCGAACAGTTTGGTCTCAGGCAATCTCTATATGCTGCGGGTTAGCGTCCGGAAGGTGCGTACGCGGTCACCGACTTACCTTGGGCCCAATCACGAATCCATTGCGGTGGCATACAGTTGTGGATTTGGTCGAGTCAGCCGTCACTGAGAAGTATGCGATGTCCATCCCCGTCTCCCCAGTCCCTAACACCATCACATTAGTGTTCTGGCCCAGCTGCCGCACATGTTTGTATTCGGATGAGTGAAAGACCACCGGCACGCGGTCCAATCCGGGGATGGACGGGATATTGGGCTTGACGTGCAGACCGGAGCACACCGCGACGGCATCGCAGTCCCAGGTGCTTGTCTGCCCTTTGTGTGAGACAGTGATTCGGTGTTTCCCCTTGCCCGTGCGTTCGACCTTCTCGACCTGTGTCGAGAGGCGGATATGTGGCCTGAGCCCGAACCGGTCACAGTAGCCCTCCAAGTACTCAACGTACTCCACTGCAGACAGGTAATCGACGGATTTGTCGTGCCAGCGGTAGTCAGAGAAGGTGGTCAACTGTGCGGATGAAACAAGCTGTGGCTCATTTAGCAGTTGACTTCAATGAGAAGGGTTGGCATTACCTCGGCCCTATCGTAGGTGCGATAGGAAAAGGTGCCTCCCACTCGATCTTCTGATTCAAACAGCTGTACTTCGATCGGGTCGACCGGCTGGAAGTGGTGTGCTGCCAGCAAATATTTGAGGGTAACGAGACCCGATGGGCCGCCTCCAATGACCGCAACTTTCATGGTCAGTAGATGTCAAGAGCAATGCGTGCTAAAAAAAAAAATTACCACCATCTCCGATATATACCCGGCCTGAAAGGTCGGTTGTAATCCATGGAGGGGGCACACTGCAGTAACCCAAGTCACTAGATCTACAACATATTCGCTTGTCATCGGGTTTTACGCCATGCCGCTTTTCCTCGCCTAGGGTATCCCAGACTGTGTATCGATTGCTACGAAGCAGCCGCTAATTGTGCTGTAGCAAGGCTGTTCTATCTATGTCTCACTCTCGGTTGCCGTCTTTCAGTGGCTCACATCTCCTGCATCATACAAAATTTATGTTTTTCAAAGGGGGGCACCTGTATTTGCTGTCACATTTGCTTGTCCCGCTGTCCCCCAACTTATGCTAGTCATCATTGGTGGCTGTTCGTCCGACTTGGCGTGGAAATCCCTCGTGATGCCCAGGCTGTTCTGGGCAGCTGAGCAGGTGGCAGACGTCAAGCAAGGGGTCAAGCATTTCCTGCAATAGGACTACCTACCCTACTACCCTACCATGACAGCCCAGCCGAGAAATACGCTAATGCATGCATGCAACTTTACTTTTTTTGCTAGCTTTTGTCTGTATTAAATTTTTTATACGCATTTGAAAGTATACCATATTTGTTACCTGTGGCGTGCATACATTAGCGTATTTCTCGGCCTTGCTGTCGTGGTAGGATAAAGCATTCCTGCGGTGCGCTATTGACATGGTGCATGCATGGCATTATACTGCCATTACCTGATCAGGTATGAGACCTTGGTCGGGCGAATCTGTTGTCTGCTGTGAAACCCAGCGCCCTTTTCCCCGATAGGACCATACAGTGCTTCCATATTCCTCTACTATGAATCCGAAAGCCGTGACCTACAGAAGGAGGTGTAGCTGCATCGGACAGCTCAAAGACACGGACTTTGGTGATGCAGCATTCTGGCCCAATCACGAGACTATTTGCCTTTCTGGGCCAGTGAAAAAACCCTTTAATTGTCCCAAGTACTATCCACGAGGTTACATACATTCTGACCACGTAGTGAATAATCAACTCCTTGCGCTTCGCATCCTGCGGCACTGAGATAATTTACGAAGGCTGCAAAATCTTATCGTGCTTTTGGCAGAGCCTGGATAAGTCCAAAAGCTCAGCACCTGCAATAATGAGCTACCGTACGCCCGTGACCAGGATAAATATCCCAGCAATGAGCGATAGTCAACATCAAACTGCTCTAGTGTCCGCGCTCAATATTGTAAATCTTCCAGCATCGCTTGCTCTTTTGACACCCATACCACCCTCCATATTCCACAACCATGTCCTCATTCAAGAGCCAGTGTGAAATCATCATCGATAAGCCCGCCCATGTGGTCTATGACTTTGTGACCACCGTCTCGAACTGGATCGGGATCCACCCAGCCTGTAAGGGAATTGAGGGCGACGATGGTCTGGACAAAGAGGCTACTGTCGGCCTCAGATTCACTGAGACAATCGATGTACGTGGCTGGGTTTTCCAATGTCACTGGGAGGTGCGGAAAATGGTCAAGGACCAGTACTTCGAGTTCAGTCTGCCCACCGATTTCATTCTGCCTCCAGTCTACAACACCATCATCACCTACATCTTCGACCCCATCGGGGACAATAAGACGCGCTTCATTCGTACCATGATCAACTGTACCAATGCCGACGCCACTCCAGAGCAAAAGGCTGACTTTGCCGATACCGACATGCACACCGATTATCTCAATGCAGTCAAGGCCCGATTGGAGAAGTCCTGAATATGAGAATGATTGGTATGCAAGGATGTTGCATAATGGATATGCAACCAAGTTCTGTAAAGCAATACCTGTGGATATCTTGCATTTGACACGTCTATTATTCCGTCTTTTGCATAGAGTCTTAGCGGTGGTAGCCCGTCTAGATTATCGAAAGCCCACCTGCACCTGAGAGCTAAGCGATCACATATCCGAATGTACTTCTTTGCAGCTATTTGCAGGATGCGGAGACCTGTGCACGTAGGAATTTTAAAACGTGTGATACAGCGCCAAGCCAATACGTCGTAGAAGCTCTAGCAGTAGATGGAATCCCGTTTATCAAAGAACCATCGGGACAAAGACACAACTTTATCATTTCTCCTAGTCATTTCTGCATATGGAGCGTCGCACAGTGCTCATCACCGGATGTAGTCAAGGTGGCATCGGGTCTGCCCTGGCGGAGGTGTTCCACCAGAGGGGATTCCATGTGTTTGCAACAGCCCGCAAGACGGAGAAGATGAAGCACCTAAGAGATTTAGATCGGATGACGCTGATCCCTTTGGATGTCACTCAGGAATCCCAGATAAGTGCGGCGGTTGAGTTGATCCAGAAGCATACCGGAGGGACACTGGACTATCTGGTGAACAATGCCGGGGATGGGTACATTATTCCGGTGCTAGATTGCGATCAATTACATGGTCGACAGATCTTCGAGGTCAACTTCTGGGGTCCCCTGCGGATGATCCAAGAATTCTCTCCTCTCCTGATTGCAGCTCGTGGGACCATTGTAAACATCAACTCGGTTGCCAGCGAGACATTGCCCCTATGGCTCGGTACGTGATTCAGAACCCTTCACATCAAATCTCTCACCAACCACCTATAGGTATCTATTCCAGCTCCAAGGCTGCATTGCTCGCCCTCAGTGAGACCCTGCGCTTGGAACTGAAACCGTTTGGAGTCCAGGTGCTCTCCGTCATGACAGGAGCAGTGCAGACAATGATCTTTCAGACAAACTACCGGCTTCCGCCTGACTCCGCGTATATGACGTGGGAGAAACAGATCGCCGCGCAGGCAGAGGGAAGTGAGAAGGCGTCCCGCATGTCAGCAACCGTGTATGCCGAACGAGTGGTGGGTGATATCTTGAATCGCCAAGGAGGCATTACCTACCGTGGCCAAATGGCCTCTTTTGCTTACTGGGTGGTGGCCCTTATGCCACGCTTCTTAAGAGTAAGCGCCACTGGAGGTGTTCCCAATGGCACTAGTTTATGCTAATCTTGGGAATTAGGATCTGGTCACAGTGAAAATGGCCGGAATTAGCTAAGGGGCTGCAGACTTGTACTGATTGCGTTTGGATTGTAGCTTCTTTGGTGGATAGTAATGGGTAGAATACTGCACTGACATGTGTCGGCTGCAGGTGTATCTTGCAGACTCAGCGTTAGAGATGCTCTATCAGTACGGAGTGCAATCATCTATATATTGAAATAGGGGAGCGTTCGTAGGCGACTCCACTGCTAGCACAAGTAGGATCACAGTAAATCCTGGAAATCCTATTAGAGCCAGTAAACAGCTAAAATTCGGGTACAAAGAGTACGTATTCAATACCTAAACGATTACAAATATTACAATATGGAACCAGGGAACATTTACAGCCATGTAACTACCACACGATTGGATACCGTATCTCGCCACTACAATATGCACTAATATGCTATGGAGGGAAAGCCGCGATGGCAGTTAAATGCTGTTGGCGGGTCGAGAGCAACAACAACCAACAACACTGATCTAGACACATGCAGGCACTACGTAGGTGATCAACATGTTGTATTTATGAGAACCTTTGGGGCAATACATGGTAGGCCGAACCTTTAGGTTTAGGTATCGGAATGGGATATGACCTCCCTAGGCCCTAAACAGGAATCATAGTTTTTGTTGTGGTTCTAGTGGTAAAGTACGCTGTATTATTTCCCACATCGGTATCAATATCACCAAGTTCGCTGTTCCCCCACTACAATGCATAAATGAATTCCACAGAAACGCCAGTGGCTGGCAATACCCACGTCGCTCGTATATATGCATATTCGGCCCTCCTACGGGTTTAAAATACCTCTCGTATCCTACAAATGCAACCTGAACACGTCCATTGGAACAAAATCATACATCCAGCTGTGCTGCCATCATGTCCAAGCCCTTATTCGAAGCGTATCCTCTCACCGGGCTTGACCATACCATTCCTCCATGTTATGTTCGCTTCTTTCTAACTTTCCCCGTGCCGGATGTGGCATTGGCTGTCAATCAGCCGCAAAAGGGAGCTGACAATTTCATCGAGAAACTTCCTTTCCTGGCCGGATATTTGGCTCCATGCGAGACCCCCGGCGTACGCCCAGGGCAGCTCGAGATTCGACCGCCCGCTGAGGAAGGGATACCCGTCTGCCTCGTCGCACATCACTCAAACTCCTGTCTTGCAGATTCCAGTGCGACCTCGACGACGGAACAGCTGGGCACCGCCAACGAGAACTATCTCCCGGTCCCTTTCTTCCCGGAGCTAGACAAGCCGGTGCCAATCTTCCGGGTCAAGGTGAATGCCATGACGGACGGCATCATTCTAGGATTTGCGTTCCACCACAGTGTGATCGATGCCACCGGTATTGGCACCATTGTCCGCGACTTTGCCAGATGCTGCCGTGGCCCTGATGGCGGTCCCCTTGAAATCAGTCTGGAGTCTCAAAACGACTCTAGAGAGAAGCTGAGACACTGCGGAGGACCTCCCGATCCGCGGTTTGATCACAATAAGGAGTATCCTCTCGTGGCGTCTCTGCCCGCCGACCTCGAAGGCATGAAGCAGGTCTTGATCCAGACGGCCCGACTCATGTCGACGCAGTATTTCCGCATCCCTGCTAGCCTAGTCAATGCGCTAAAGGAAACCTGCAATCACATGCTTCGGGAATCACCAGCGCTCAAGGACGAAGGGGAGAATCCATGGATTTCGAGCAATGATCTAGTGGTGTCGCTGTTGTGGTTGTGTCTCAATCGTGTTCGGTATCCTGCAGAGAATAACAACGTCATTCCTCCATCCGATTCCTCGGTCTGCATGGCCGTGAATATACGAGGGCGCATGAAGTCGCCCATTAATCCAGGATACGTTGGCAACGCCATCGTCCTTCTCCGGGAGAGCGTTGGCATGAGTGCGTTCCTGCATAAACTGGGCGATGGCGATCCCCTTGGCGCCCAATGTTACGAAACAGCGAAACGGCTAGGCCGAGAAACGTGGGAAGCAGCCCTGGTGCGCATCGCCCTGGCCATCCGCCGCAAGCTCAACACCATAAACGATAGTTATGTGCGTAGTGTTATCTCCTATCTGGAGGGCGTCCCCGACCTGTCCACTGTGGCGTTTGGCCAGACAGACTACCACATCAGCAGCTGGCGGGACATTGGCGTGTACGAGGCCGATTTTGGTGGTCACATGGGCCATCCCAGCGACATGCGAGTACCAGATGGGATGGTCGATGGCATGTTTTACATCTTACCTCGAAGGCAGGGAACGCACCCTTGCTGGGAGATCCATGTTACTATCCACCAGGACACGATGAAGCGACTCATTGCAGACCCTGTGTGGGCACGATATACAGCGGGAAAGACTCCATCACTCTGCCGGGATGAATGAAGGACTTCAATTTTCATACGGAGTGAGAAGAGATTGCTTGGATATTAAGGGGATTGTTCATTGTACTTGGCTGGGTCGGTTCATAAATCTCCAAAGTATCTAGCATCTACTCTTGCTGGAAACAGTGACTCTGGGGTAGTGAACAGAACATCTATAGTCTAGCCTATTGGACAATGTCGGTCATCGCATTGATGCCTCCATTTGTCTGCAGACTGAGCCTGTCTTTTCCTTTTTTTTTGTTAGGGTATAAATCCCCTGCTTTAGATAGATTGATATATAGATTATGATTTCTCTTCTTCTCTCTCCTCCTAGCTAGTAGCTTCAACATACCGAATCAACAACTTATGTCCTAAATTAGTAAATAGTCATTATATCCTTCATCCTCATCCACAGAAACGGCTAGGTGCTGTTCTTGTTGTCCCTCTCCGCACCAGAAGGAGAACCTTCTGGCAGCAGCGGCTCTGGAGGTACCTTCTTCTTGACCGACACGTTCCATCGCACAATGAACGCCCCAAATACCGACAGGGAGGCTGCAGCCACTCCAGCATAAAATGTATGGGTGACAGCGGTGTTGTACGCCTGCAGGATTGACGGCAGCACATCCGAGGGGAATCGGTCAGACAGACCAACAGTGCCACCATCGAGAATTGACTTCGGGTTTACGGAGGGAACCAGGATCTGCACGCTTTTCGCCAATTGATTCTGGAAGACAGTTTGGGCAATGGCACTGAAGATGGATCCCGCGAGGTTCTGCATGAAGATCACGACCGCCGTAGCTACTGGCACATCGGCTGCAGGGACGTCGGCCTGGACGACCAGCAGAGGTAGCTGGTATCCCAAGCCAGATCCCATTCCAATCATTGCCTGGTAACCAATCCATTCAGCAGACCCCGAGCTGCGCTGGAATGTCGAGCAGAGACCGGCACCTACAGCCAGCAAAACTGATCCCAAGACCAGGAAGGGCACCATGTATCCCACCTTCATGATTATCACACTGGATAGAAGGCCGACCACAATCGTTCCGACCACGGTAGGCAGATTCATAATGCCAGACTGGGAGGCCGACACGCCCTTGACGGACTGGAACCATATGGGGAGCTGTTATTGCTTGCGTTAGTTCTATTCCATGCGACGGGGGAGACTGACATACGTAGTATCCGAACACTATCACGCAGCCAACGAAGGGGATGGTGTAGACACAGGTGCCAACTATGCTCCGTCGCTGCATCAGTCTCGGCGGGATAGTGGCCTCCTCCTGCTTCCAGCATTGGATCAACAGCCACACTATCCCCAGCACTCCGGCAATAATAAATAGCATAATGATCCGGACGTTCTGCCAGTTATATCGTGCGCCACCCCACTGAAGCGCCAGGAGCAGCGAAACAATCGCCGGGATGAAGACCACAGTGCCGATCCAGTCTAAACCCTTGATTTTGTGACTGGTGGGTACATTCTTCTTTACCTTCGTGGTTTTCAAGAAGAAGAAAACCACTACTGCGGTGACACCGCCGATAGGAAGATTAATGTAAAAACACCATCGCCATGACAGTCGATCAGTGAAGACACCGCCTAGTCTGTAGACGTTTAGTCAATAGACGCCAACGGGATAGAGCTGACTCACATAGGTCCAGTCACCGTGGCAATGCCCGACATGATTCCAATGAAAGCGGTCAATAGCGGCCGTTGATGCAGAGGCGCGATGTTGCTCAAGATGATCACCGAGCCAGGAAAGATCCCGGCGGATCCCATGCCCGAGATAGCTCTGCCTACGATCAATCCCGCCGAGGACGGGGTGGTGGCGCAGATCAGTGACCCCAGTTCGAACAACCCGAGAGAAACCAGGTAGGTCCATTTGACGGAGTAGTAGGTGTAGATCTTGCCAAAGGAGAGAATGAAGGCGGACGTGACCAACAGATAGGCGCTGACATACCAGCTCATGTCCTCGAGGGAGTTGAACTCAGAGGTGATCTTGGGAATCGCCGTTGCGAGGATCGTATTATCCTAGTTCGAACATCAATAAAGGACCATCGCAGTCAGTGGATGGACCAGGTCGCCTGGGCCGACGATTCGACTCACGAGTCCAACACAGAAGGAGCACAGCGCGACTCCCAGGGTGATCAGAATCACGCGAATGAGACCGGGATACTCCACAGGATCATCTTGGATGTTGGTATCGAGCCTCTCTTGTTCCGGCAATTGTGATCCTCCCCCATAACGAGAGGCGGTCTCCTGCGAATGGTCCTGGTGCTGGAGTGTATCCAGTTGGATGTTTCCTTTGTCCGGCATTGTGTGAAGGTCTGTGCTTGTCTTTTCTTGCCCACTGCCGTCTTTTTTACACCTCACAGACTCTGAGATCAGAACGACTGAGTCAGAAATGGCGAGACAAATGTGCAGGAATGCCAAAGGCTAGTTAGACTTTGAGTGGGGGAGCTTAGTAGGCGACTTGGTGGTTTCGGCGTCGGGCAGGGCTTTTCTTTGTCGCGCTTACCCCCTTGCAGGGGATAGGAAACTGGTTTGGAATATTATCAAGCGGGTCTATATTGAGCCTGTCCTCCATTCCTCCATTCATTCCAACGTCTTATTTTCGCTCCTGCTAGCTCTAATTGCTTTTCTCAGGTGCCTTAAACGCCACATGCTACCACAGACGGATTGCCTTACGA